CACACACACACACACACACACACACACACACACACACACACACACGAGTCTCTGCAGCAGCATCACTAAATAGTTTGTGCCATAGCAGGAAACAGCACATGGACAGAACAGTGACGGTAAATCTAATGCTAACAGTCTAGCAGCTAACTAAATCTAATGCTAGAATAAAGTCAAGATTCTGCCTTGTTGCTGGTATTTTCGCGATTCTTCATGATGTCAGGTGGCTGTTTGCGGGCGAACCTTGAGGACGGAGACGACGACCTGCGACTGTCCGGCCTGGACGGCGATGGTGCTCAGCGTGGTGAAGGACTGGGGAACCTTCATGTTTGCGGCCTGCTGTCGTCCTCCAGACAAAGCGTCTTCGGTCTCTCCGGCTGTCATGAAGAACGATGAATGTTTCTGTTTCACGTGATGTATACGTGGAGTTTTAGGTCTAGTTTGTGATCTTCTCTGGATGGAACAGTTCTCTTGCAGTTCTTATCAGACTGTTCCTCCTCCAGCTCTGCTGCCTGGTTCTGTTTGTGCCATCATTGCTTCAGTGGTGAAGATCCAACAGAGAGGGGAAAAGCTGAACCAGTTTGTGTTGGAAAATGCTGCTGCTGGTTGAAATGTTCCTGCAGAACACAGAGAACATTTATTAAGATGAAGGTTCTGCAGAGAGTTCTGCTCCTGTTTGCCCCATTGCTGCTAAACTCCCACAATGCTCTCTGCTGCCACCATGAGCTGTAGTCTGGCCTCCTCTGGTCTCTACAGGATTAAACAGGGAGAGGCTCCACCTGGTGGAACAACCAGGTACTACACCTGGCTTTTTGCTCCAAAAATCCACCGTCTGATGAGCTCAGTTCATTCTGCTCAGTCTGCAGACGATTTGGTCCGTCGGTGCTTTTGTTCTTTGGAACTTCACAAAGTTTCAAGTGAACTTTTAAATTCACTAAAAATGTTGATTCATCCAAATGACCAAAAGATACATAAAGAAAATATTCAACTTAAACAGAGTCGGATTTAATCTGAAAATCTGCAGCTGAAACAAATTCAGACTTTAGTTTAAAAAAATTTAAAGATTTAAAAAGTTCAGCTGAACGCTTCTTCCCTAAAACTGAGCGTCGTTTCTGTGGACGAGTTACCACCAGGAACAGTTTCACCGGAACTACTTTCTGCTGAAGAAATAGTCCCTGTTTTTGCACTCTGACCTCACTGATCCCAGTTCAACTCCAACAAAAACCTGAATAAATATATAAAGTTTACAGTTAAATTAGGAGGCAAACGAACATAAAACCAATAAAACCAGACCGAGAGCTGGATGGTTCAGAAAAAAAGAAATAAAAATAAGAGGAAAGACATAAAGTTTGAATTAAATTAATCACTTGTAGTAAAACTGTGAAATGTTATTAAGATAAAATAATCATGATGATTCAAAAAAATGAATGTATTTTACTGATTTTGGGGTTTTAGCTGCTGGTTGGTTAAAACATGAGGTTTGTTTACATTTTATGAGGTCAATTAATTAATCAAACAATTAAATGATTCACTGAATAAATGAATTTGCAGAAAACAGGATTGAGCAGCAAACTGAAATCAATAAATACTGAAAGAATGAGAAGCAAAGTGATTAAACAGAAAACAAACTGAACAAAACTAAAGTCAAAAATCTGTCAAAACCCTGCTTCAGTCACAGCAGCTCGTAGTTTATGAGCTGGTTTTATGAAAACTACAAAACTTAAAGAATGAAGGAGAAGAAACACGACAACACGATTTATGAGACAAGAGACATCGAACGTTAGAGCTTCAGCTAAAGATGATCCGAAATAAATCCAACTAACAGATTAACCACATTCACGTTGGAGATGAATTTAGCTGGAAACTTCCAATCAGGTTGAAAGCATAAATACTCTGTACTTTTCTATTATCAGGATATTTTGTACTATTTCTGCAGCAGCAGCTATAAACAGACACAAAGATCCCAGAAAACCCCCACGACACGCTCCAGTCCTGAGCCCAGGGTTCTCTGGTTTCTCTGATCTAAACTAAACATTTAGCTCATCACATCCGTTAAACAGACTTCTTCTGCATCAGATAAAGACAAGCAGCACACTCACTTCTTTACAGCTTGTAGATGAACAACGTGAGCAGGACTTTACCTGAGCCCGTCTGAGGTCGACTGCTGACAGTGTGGAGCCCGAAACAGCTGAGAGGAGGAGTCGGTAAAAATAGATGTGGTTTCAGTCGCATTATCACCCAGCGGACGACACACAGACATCTGCCTCCCATAAACAAACACAGGCCCGTCAGCAGCCTGCACATGAATCCACAGCACGGTGACACAGCGGCTCCAGAACCAGCAGAGTATCCAACGGTTCTACGCCCAGGGCCCGGCGCTGGTAGACCCAACCCAACAGCCCATGAGTGTCAAGGAGAAAAGCTGCCACGCTGTTGAGGCCGGCTGAAAACGGTCAATACAAGAGACATGGATCACACGTTTAGCCTTTTTATTTTGCTGTGATGTGCTCGTATCTCAAAGACCTGATTGTTCCATATTATCCTAGCAGA